ATTAGATATGCAAACTTTTTAAATCTTTCTATTGTGTTACGTAGCCTCAGTATTAGGCCTTTGATGGCCACTGACAAAATTTTTCTATGTCAAATTGTTTTTGAGTTTTGGGGGTTTTTGTTAAAAAAATGAAAAGTGGTCAAAGTTACCCCGCCGGTCAACCGTCAAAGTAACCCCATTTTACGGTATAGTTTAATAAGTTTATAGATTAAAAAAATCCTTCATTAAAATATGTGAATCTACATAGCTGAATGCAACATTTGATTTGTGCAGAACCTCTGCTCCCGACAAGCATGGGAGTTTTTTCAAGTATTCTTGCAAGAAGAATATCGGGGCAGCATTGCCGAGTTGACTTCTGTGCTTGCCTGCTATCGTTCCGAGTCTCATTTGCTTCACCAAATCTTTGCATTTTATCTCACTGACCCCATGCACATTTTGTCCTGCCGTACACATCTGCTGGCCTCTGCTGCAGCTAAGCAAGATCACCCATATCAGGTAAGCTTTGAATGACTTCAGTTTTAATAAATGACCTCTTGATTACATTTTTCCAGAAATGTCTGCTTAACTCTAAGCTTAACTCTAGTTAGCTTAACTCTAAGTTNTATTTGTACGATTATCAAAAATAATTCATGATTTACTAATTTATTATCATATGTTTGATGAAACTGAACTGTGCAGGGACTGTCAGGACAAAGCTTACGGAGGCGGCATCTTCTGTGGCCAGGAAGACGAGGCCAACAAAAACAAAACTTCTGCATTAGATTTTGTCCCTGGCAACCCTGACTTGCCTGATGATGGTTAGTATTAATAATCCCATCCAGTCCCACAAGTTTAATTCAATTAAATCAATACATAGTTTTCTATGTGTTGGGAAACTTGGCTGCCACACTAACCTTCATCTAATTTGCTAAATTGTGTCTGTATACATACATGTATGAGTAAGGGATGTGCAAAAATTAGTGAATCTTTTCATTTTATGTATAGGTTAATAATAGTGAAGTTTACACGAATGTTCTCATCACATTATTATTGATCCATCCTCGAATGGATCAATTGTTGCTGTACAAATATATAAAATTTTTCTAAAATACATAGGAGAATACCTATGTGAATGATCTTGTGTCATGAGAGAACCAATGGTCTAAAAAATTGATCACACTTGAAATATCATGAAATGTTCTAGAACAATCAGGAATACAGATATAATATATGTGAATGTTCATATTGCAGGAGAATATCAATGGTTAGCAGCGCGACTTGCACTTGCTAAGCACCTGCTGGCATCGCTGCTGGTGTACTACGCTCAGCCTCATAGGAAGTGCGAGCCTAGTGTAGTGGTCAACCTCATCACACTGGCACAGGTGATGGCCTAGACATGCTGATTAGATTAAATTATGTACTTGGATCAATTATTTATATAGATTAAACTATTTGTCAGCCTACCTCATCACACTCGCGAAGGTGATGTCCTGCACTAAGGGAAATAAGAGAGACTTTGTCCAAATAGCAATGCCCTTTTTGTCCTTTTGTCCTTGTTATGTTGCCCTTTTTTTCCTTTTTTTTATCCCTTATTTTTTTTATCCTTTATTTTTTATCTTTTTTTGTTGTTGTTTTTTTTTTGTTGTCCTTGTTGTGTTGTCCTTTTTGTCCATGTGTGTCCATCATAACCCAGTTTGACCTGGCAAGAGGGCGTATCAGTGCTACATGCAGAAAGTGTGACACAATTTGGGCAACAGGATTCAAGTTTGTCATGCTAATTGCTTAAATCATATGCTTGAGCAGATTACTAATAGATTAAATAATATGATTGGGCGGATTATTTATGTAAAGTATATGTAGCTTACTTGTAATAAGTATATACTTGTTATTTCAGGAGTGTAGGTTACTGAGCCCAGTATTTGCTATATTTGTACTTTTATGACTGCTTACTAACTACTGATTGTGTTTGTATTCTGGAATTCTCGAACTAGGTATCAATGGAGCTGGAATCTGAAATGTTTTCTTTAAAGATAACGTGATTTTTTTTTGCTGTGATATTTATAGAGAATTTGAAATTGAAGCATCTGAATGACATTAATGCTCCAACCATTTGATGTTTAGGGCAAAGTCATATAAGAATTTCTTGATATTTCACAAGTGCTGGTTAGTGCAGAAATCATTTTGTTGTACAGGGTGAAGGCGTGTGCGGGGGGGTAGTGGCCCCTGGGGGCCAGTCATGCCAGGCCGCTGTGGCGACGCTCCTCAGGGACATAGACGCTCTGCACTCCCTCCTGCTGGTGCTGGTTATTGATACTGACGAAGACGTCAGGTGAGATCTTGGGTCATATAACTAAAATTATTTTAGCATAATTCAAATAGCAAACTAATTAATTGTTCTACCATCACAATGCAGACTCTTGTAATCAGGGTTGGCAATGATTAAATCAAAATGATTAAATCATGTGATTAAATCACTTGATTTTTTTATAAAAAAATCGTGATTTTTTTATTTTTTTTATTTTTTCATATATTTAAATATATTGAGTGGCAGTCTTTAATTTATATTGAGGTATTGTTATTCATGGCTTAGTATAAATGCTGTCTCTTATACACATCTAGATGTGTATAAGAGACAGCTTCTGCCTTCTTTCNTGTGACTCTTCAATGTTTAGAAGATCTGCATTCCTGAAGTGTTTTTGTATATTGAAGCCAGTTAAATGGTCAATATTTAGCTCATTACCTTGCTCCATACAAACTTTACAAAGCTAATGAATAGACTTATCAATAGTTGTTTACCCAAAAATCCCTAAGTGGTAAACACCACTTTGGCCTGTTGGCCATTATTGAAGGCAATAAGTGCCCTTTTTAGCCATCCATTATGATCCATATACTGTTATTTTTAGTAGGCTAATTGCAACATAAAAAATAACACTTCAAAAAGACAAAAAAGTTGAAAAATTCAAAAAAATCAAGTTAATAAAAAAAATCATGAAAAAATAAAAAAAAATCATTGATTTTTGATTTTTTTGATTTTTTTTTTAAATCAAAAAAATCGCCAACCCTGCTTGTAATATATTCATATGTGAACCATATTTCTCTACTCTGAATGTGTATAGAGGCCAATGTGTATGTTCCTTTTATTTCTACTCTTACAATTAGTTTTATGCCTTTTAACTTGATCATTCTCTAAAATATCATGACAGAAAATGTATTTATTTTATCTCTCCAAAATGAACTGGTAATATATTCATTTTTGAAACATATTCCTACACTTTGAACGTTTAGGTCTCTTCTATTTCTACTCTTACAATTATTTTTATGCCTATAACTTTATTATTCTCTAAAATATCATGACAGAAAATGTATTTATTTGATTTTAATAACATTAACTCGGCAGATCACATAAGCTTTGTGCACCACAATGGCGGGAGAAGCTAGAGTTGCTCATAACTGAGTTCGGGTCTCGCCCCGGCCACCTCCCGCCCCTGCTGGCGTGGTGTGTGCTGCAGGGGCGCCGTGCCCTCTGTGACACCAACGGCGCCTCAGTGCCTTCGTCGGAGGTGCAGCGCTACAGCAGGATGGCCGTGAGAGCTGTGGATGGGGGCGTCATGGCCTGCCTACACAACTTCCTGAACAACCAAGCCGTTGTTGTGAGTCTTGATTACTGTCACTCTAGAGTGTTTCTGTTATCATTATTGCTGTCACTCTAGAGTGTTTCTGTTATCATTATTGCTGTCACTCTAGAGTGTTTGTTGTTGTCACTATCCTTATTGCTGTCACTCTAAAGTGTTTACTTTGTCACTATTCTCATTGCTGTTGCTCTTAAGAGTGTTTCTGTTGTCACTATCCTACATAATAATATACAACTTGAAAACGAGCATAATTAACAGAAACGATTGCAAGTTTGAATATTTCGCGCAGAGCGACGCGCTGCTGAAGGAGGTGTGCGCGAGCATCGTGTACTCGGTGGCGTGCGTCGCGGCGACGCAACTCAACATCGACCCCAGGGCGCCGTGCAGCGCCCACCTCAGCGCCCTCGCCGTCGCCTGCGTCGCCAGTCCCGTCCCCGCCCACCTCTTCTGGGCTGAAGAAGGTCGGCCTTCTTATACTTCAAACTTTAATATTTAAGAAATAATTACCGTTCGCTATAGGACTGGTAGAAGGAGAGGACTTCTCTGCCTTCAAACTTTAATATTTATAAAATAATTAACGTTTGCTTGGACCGGTCGGCTTCTCGGAGTTCAAACTTGAATATTTACAAAAAATAATTACCGTTTTCTATAGGACCGGTCGGGGGAGAGGACTTCTCAGACTTCTAACTTTAATGTTTAAGAAATAATTACTGTTCGCTATAGGACCGGTAGGAGGAGAGGGCTTCTCGGAGTTTAAACTTCAATATTTATAAAATTATTTACTGTTCGCTATAGAACCGGTAGAAGGAAAGGTCTTCTCGGAGTTCAAATTTGAATATTTATAAAAATAATTACCGTTTTCTATAGGACCGGTCGGAGGAGAAGGCTTCTTGCACTTCAAACTTGAATTTAAGAAATAATTACCGTTTGCTTGGACCGTTTGGAGGAAGGGGTTCTCTGACTCCGTTATGCTTTAAGAACTGCTAATTACTACAGGAATAAGGGCTGTTTGCTGTAGGAATGGTGGCATGTCTTATTTATGGGTATGAAAACTGGAGCCTTAACTATTGCAGAAATAATTAACGTTACTATATAGTTGAGTATAGTATCTTGGCATTGAAGAATAGGCCTGGATAGGCCTGCCCCCGATTCTTGTACTTTTCTTGACTAGACTATAGTAATGGTCAAGAGAAGGGCTTCTCTGGCTTAGTTGCCCAGGGGCCATACTTTCAAAACTCGCTAAGTGAACGTAAGTACTTACGCTCTATTTTCTTGTCTGTGATTGGTGGATTTTGCTTGAAAGGACGTCAATGATTGGCTGATGAACTTACGATCTCTTAACTTTTTTGAAAGTATAGGTAGGTCCTTGCTCCAACTATATACTGCAGGAATTACGGCCGTGCCCTGTTGTATTTACGGGTGATGATCATTGTACAGGCCTTCACTACTATAGGAAATACCATCTTCATATTTCTACTATTTCCCAACTAGGTGTTTCATCCTAAATTCTTTATGGTTTTTTGTATATCTTTTTTTTTTTCGTTACTGAAATGTGTCTCACATTTATTGAGTATGTCAGTAACCATTGCCTCATGAATGCTGTCCAAATAATCAGTAATCTGAAAGAATTAAGGATGTAACCGCTTTACAGTAGGTACATCCTGTAATAATTTGGGTGAGATAATCAGGTATGTTACATTACTCGAGGAATGCCTCTGGTAAACCAATAATAAATGTGGCTTTAAATTGAACTTCAATTGTAACCTTATGGTAATTTTAAATTTTGAGGTGTTAAGCTATCTGCTGAGTACTGAAATGTGGCAAGAACTGCACGTGAACGAATTTTACAGTCCAACGTGGAGATCTAAATGATTTCTTCCATTGAATATCCTGTTTAATGTTCATGATTAATATTTATATACAGAACGATTGTTGTGGCGTATCGTTCAAACGAACTTGGAGGGTACGTAAACATAAGTTTTATATCGGGAAAAAAATAAGAAGATGTGAGATATGACGATACGGTACCATAAAATGAGATATAAGATACCATAAAAAATATAACTCAGTGCTCACTGCAGTGAGTGACAGAAAGCGCATTTTCTCGTTGACCAAAGACAGACGGACGGACGGACGGACATGGCGAGTAAAATAGTGACTTTTTTCCATAAATGAGAAAATGCGCTAAAATGTTTTGATGGATATTGTCCACCATTAGAATACATTAATGTAGAAGTGATGTGCTAATACTGGATGCATTACAGAAGGTACCGCCGCGGTGCTGCTGCCAGACGCTCTATTACTATGCTTAACAAAGTTTTCTTGTGGCAAAAACTCCAATGTGACTGATATTACAGTTGACTTCCTGCAACACAAAACAGTAACAAGTGGTTGTTTAATCAAATAATGTGTTTCTAGATGGATAATATTGAATATCAGATTTATATTTTTACTAAAAACCTTGTAACATATGAATTACCTGTTGGTCCTTTCTTACCCCAGCCTGATCCCATCTTACCCCAATGGGGTAAGATGGGACCAGCTCACTTTTTTTAATCTGTACAGAAAACTGTGTTGTATGCAACAAGTCTGAGTTGTAGCTTTGAAGCCCAATGCATAACCACACCTTATGATAAGTTTAGGATTTTTTAGTTATTCATGGTATAGATGCTATATGCCTGTTAGTGATTTTGGTCCTGTCTTACCCCATCTGACTATATTGTCCCATCCGACGAATTGCTGCTGTGCGTAATTTCTGAGGGATATCTCTTCCACCAAGAACTGACACAAGGTTCCAAGGAAGTGAAAGATTTTTCAAGTATGAGGGAAACTCCTGCCTCTGGTTTGTGTAGAGCGAACAATGCAAGATGAAATGATTAATAGTGTCCTTGCACTCCTTGACATTGCATGTAGGACACATGCTGGAGTGGAATTGGACAAATTGAAACTAGACAAATGAGCCCTCACGCCAGCATGACCAAGTCGCAGACGAGCCACAGCACATTCCATAGAGCGTGGTAAAGATCCATAATAAGCCACATAATCCACTGCTGCTCCCAGGCCCAGCCTGAAGGTTCCTTTTCCTGAGGCCTGCACTTCTTGTGACCAGTGACTACCAGGATGCCCAATGTTCCAAAAATTTGGATTTCAACATGCATAGCCACTCCTCAAAGCACAAAGTGGATCTTGCAGAGCGATCATTTGAGTGTGCAAGATTGGCAATTCTGTCAGCAATTTCATTGCCAAGAATCTGATTGTGACCACGGATCCAGCACATCACCACTCTATCAAGCCCCTTGCCCTTAGTTTGCATCAATTTCTGAATTTGAAAAACAATCCATCTATAAGAAGAGCCACCATAAGTGGAAGAGATCAGCTGCAGTGCTGTTCAAGAATCAGATAAGATCAGAACTGGGTTATTCTGTAGAGATATGTCTATGATGGCTAGCTCAGGCTAGCTGCACTGCACAGCCTTGTATTAGTTGTACGGTATATAGCAAAAATTTCAGCACCCAGTACAGTATGCATTGGATTCAGCAGCCACCCAGTGGCTAGTTGAGTTGATGGCACATATAGACCAGCTGAAACAGATCCAGTGGCAGTCTGCTATCCATCAGTATAGATCTGTACATGTTGAGGATAATACTGCTCCCAGAAGTCCTGAAAGCAATTTTGTGTAAATTGGGGTGGCATTGAGTTGACGGCAGAATTCAGTAAATCCACGCAGATGCTGGAGGAAAGATTTACATGAGGTGGAATAGCAGACACCAGTGGTGTTGGAACTCGCTGTACAGATGGTAGGTACAGGTAGGTGAGTCATTTGCATATGTAACTATAAGAGTTCTACTACATCTACAATGCATTAAAACCTGGAGTTATTTTATCAAAAAATAAAAAAATTGGAGGGGGTACTCTGACAGGCTTTAAATACTAGCTTTTTTTTGTGGGTCACATTTTTAATTTTTTAACCTATTAGATATGCAAACTTTTTAAATCTTTCTATTGTGTTATGTAGCCTCAGTATATTAGGCCTTTAATGCCCATTGACAAAATTTTTCTATGTCAAATAGTTTTTGAGTTTTGGGGATTTTTGTTAAAACGAAAAGTTGTCTAAGCTACCCTGCCGGTCTAAGTTACCCCATTTTACGGTATCTATCTCTGCATGAAAACAAAATAAAATATTTTTTATTGATCTGAAACTACAACATTAGATTAGATGTTGCCAACATCATTATATTGCATACGTGATTGAAAAACAATTATTGCACATGTATGGTTTTCCTTGACAGTCATCAAAATATTTTTTTACCCTTCGAGTTTCACCTTTGCTACAGCACTTCCCTCATTTGCTGAGAGTACTATTTTGTAGCATTCATTTCATGACAGCGCATCCTGGATCTAGTTCTAGTTTGTTCAAGGAAAGTGGGCTGTCCTCTGTCCCACTCGATAATTTGAGATCTACATCCTGATTTTACTCTCTCTGAGATGCTGCTGGTAACAGAATCTCAAGACAATATACATATACGATGAATGATCTCTATATGGTAAATATAACTGAACTAACAATATAAATACCCTAAATTTTATTCACTATTATGAAAACCTGGACACCAAACTCTTTCCATAGTAATTTCCATGTGTAATGTACATCGTTCACAAAAAGCTAAGAGATAACGGTAGTCATAACTTGTGCAATTATGACTCAAAACTAATGTAGATTACTTGCGCGCATCACTCACAGTAATAAAAGTGATAACTTTAGGCATTTTTCTGCAATATGAGCCATAGATGCATGCCTTTGCTTGGTACACATCGCCCACAGTATTGGAAGTGATTACGATAGGTGACGTGAGCCAATATGAGCCACAACAGGCATGGCTTCACTTGGTACATATCGCCAGGAATAATGATGAATTTCAACCCTGAGCAATGTGCACCAAATACAGTCACCAATTTTATGTGACACAATGACAGAACATACCCCTGCAGAGCTGCACACAACTTTTCTCCTTGCTATAAGTCGGGTAACTGAAGATATACCTACAAGTTTGAACCTATCGCCCATATGGCATTTGGGCCAAATCAGCAATCGCGGCCAACGTGTTAACTCCTACCAGTAAAGGTTTGAAACAATAAAAAATTATTTTTAATTTAATTTAAGTACCAGCGTATTTATAATTTTAATTTGCAAGGTTTTAATTTGCCAATTCAATTATAGCCGCACCAGGGGGCAGTTGCCAGTTTTGGCCCCTGAACTTAATGTGTTGAACTTGTCAGTTGTCACAAGACCTGGACTTGGAACTTCATGACGAGATCCATTATTATACTTCTGATGTTAGAACTTTTCAATTTTATAAATTATGTGGAATATTGGTATAGAATTACAATATAATTATTTATTTGTCTGATATACCGTATTGTTTTTGTGATACTTTTTTTTTAATATGACAGTTTTCCTCAAATTGATCTCATTTACTTATTTTTATCATATACGGTATATATCAACTAAAAGGACAGCATAGCATTGCTTATAATAGATTACACCTGCAAATTGAGAATCCTATAAATTTAAAATACATTTTTCCTAACTCTGTCATTCTAACTTCTAAGCTCAGTAATTTTGTAACTAATGGCTCTTAATTAGTTTCTAGATTTAAAACAATCAAATCATCCAATAAAATATGTGAATTACATAGCTGAATGCAACTATTGATTTGTGCAGAACCTCTGCTCCCAACAAGCATGGGAGTTTTTTCATGTATTCTTGCAAGAAGAATATCGGGCCAGCATTGCCGAGTTGACTTCAGTTCTTGCCTGCTGTCGTTCTGAGGCTTGTTTGCTTCACCAAATCTTTGCATTTTATCTCACTGACCCCATGCACATTTTGTCCTGTCGTACACATCTGCTGGCCTCTGCTGCAGCTAAACAAGATCACCCATATCAGGTAAGCTTTGAATGACTTCAGTTCTAATGAATCACCTCTTGATTACATTCTTCCAGAACCGTCTGCACCTATGGCAGTCAAGCTTAACTCTAAGTTGAGAAACTTGGCAATGTTAAGTCAGTGTTAACTTTAAAGTTGAGTTTAATATTTCTGTTTAGACAAGGCTAAAACTATTATAATATAAGGCTAAATTTAGGCTTTTGGTCAATGACAACAGACTGCCCCCACTATTTTTCTAATGTTTACTTTGATATCAAATGTCTGGAGGAGTTTGTGAATAATAAGTGCAAACTTTTATTATAAATTTTATTTAAGGTTGAACTGAATAGGTTAGCAAATATATAATTTGAAATTAAATACTATATTATTTCATAAATTGGTTGAAAGCATTCCAACTGACCAACCGGAAGTAATTTTGACTTCATTATTTTATATACATGCATTGCCAGTTTGGATGGTGAATCAGGAACCAGATGTTTCTGTAGCAAGTTGAGCATTTTAATTATTTTTTCTAGTTATAATTCTGTGAACTTTATTGTTTCATTCATAATTGATTGATTAACTTGACATATCTTTTGAATGCCTTCTTGAAAAAACTATTGTAATAGTGTAGTACTGACCTCGCTATGAATAGACTAGGTACCTACATAACAAAGACATATTTTTTGATTCTATATTGCAATTGAAAAGCATTACTTTTCAGTCATAAAATCTGCATTTCACAATTCTCATGTTTTTTTTTTAATTTTAGGAGCTGTTTGCAGACTTTTTAAGAGAGGCTCGTGACTGTGAGCAGTTGTTAGGCTCAAATATGGTTGAAGAACTTGCTTGTGTTCATCAGGTGGTGATGAAGTATAGGTGAGTATTGAGTGATAGTTGTACAATTTAGTTGGTTTTATATGTGAACAATATTTATTTTTGAGAGGTCAGACCACAATGATTAATATCATTGAATTGCAAGTATGACCATCATACTTTTTATTTTTAATTTTAAATTCATGTGGTAATGTAATGGGCCAAATGAGCTTGAGACAATGTAGATTTGTAGCTATGTAAGAACTACCAAAATAATTTATTCAGATAGATTTTCTGTTTTTTCAGTTGATAAATTCCTATAATCATTACAGTCTAAGAATATATTAATTTATATCATTATTCACATTTAGATTTACTAATTTATTATCATGTGTTTGACCAAACTGAACTGTGCAGGGACTGTCAGGACAAAGCTTACGGAGGCGGCATTTTTGGTGCCCAGGAAGACGAGGCCAACAAAAACAAAGCCTCTGCGTTAGATTTTGTCCCTGGCAACCCTGATCTGCCTGATGATGGTTAATATTGAAAATCTAATCCAGTACAGGTTTAATTCAATTGAATCAATATATAGTTTTCTATGTATTGGGAAACTTGGCTGCCACACTAACCTTCATCTAATTTGCTGAATTGTGTCTGTAAACACATGAGTAAATAATGTGCAGAAATTAATTAATCTTTCCATTATTTATCTGTATAGTGTAATAGGTAATAGTGATGTTTGCAGGAATGATTTCATAACCTTCATTATTATTGATCCATCCTTGAATGGATCAGTTGTTGCTGCAGATTTATAAAATTGCTCTAAAATACATTGAACAATCTGAATGCTCTTATTTTAGGAGAGGATCAATGGTAAAAAAAATTGGTTGTACGTGAAATATCATGAAATGTTCTAGAACAATCAGTAATACAGATATAATACATGTGAATGCTTTTATCGCAGGAGATTATCAATGGTTAGCAGCCCGCCTTGCACTTGCTAAGCACCTGCTGGCGTCGCTGCTGGTGTACTATGCTCAGCCTCATATGAAGTGCGAGCCTAGTGTAGTGGTCAACCTCATCACACTTGCACAGGTGACGGCCTAGCCATGCTGATTAGATTAAATTATATTATTGGGTCAATTATTTATAGAGGCTAAACTATTTATCAGCCCACCTCATCACACTTGCGCAGGTGATGCCCTGCACTCAGGGAAATAAGAGAGACTTTGTCCAAATAGCGATGCACTTTTTGTCCTTGTGTGGCTCAAAATAACCCAGTTTGCCCTGGTAAGAGGACGTATCAGTGCTACGTGGAGAAAGTGTGTCACAATTTGCGCGAAAGGATTCAAGTGTGTCATGCTAATTTGTTAAATCATATGCTTGAGCAGATTACTAATTGATTAAATAATATGATTGGGCAGATTATTTATGTAAAGTACCATATACGTATGTAGCTTACTTGTAATAAGTATATACTTTTTATTTCATGAGTGTAGGTTGCTGAGCAAAGTATTTGCTATATTTTTACATTTTTGATTGCTTTCTAACTACTGATTGTGTCTGTATTCTAGAATTCTCGAACTATCAATGGAGCTGGATTCTGAAATGTTTTCTTTAAAGATAAGGTGATTTTTTTACTCTGATATTTTTAGAGAATTTGAAATTGAAGCATTTGAATGACATTAATGCTCAAAGCATTCAATGTTTAAGGCAAAGGTTTGTAAGAATTACTTGATATTTGACAAGTGCAGGTAAGTGCAGAAATAATTTTGTGTTACAGGGTGAAGGCGTGTGTGGGGGCGTAGTGGCCCCTGGGGGCTAGTCATGTCAGGCCGCTGTGGCGACGCTCCTCAGGGACATTGACGCTCTGCACTCCCTCCTGCTGGTGCTGGTTATTGATACTGACGAAGACGTCAGGTGAGATCTTGTGTTATATATTTGAAATTATTTTATAATAATTCAAATAGCAAACTAATTAATTGTTCTACCATGACCATGCAGACTCTTGTAATATATTCATTTGTGGACCATATTTCTCTACTTTGAATGTGTATAGAGGCTAATGTGTATGTTCCTTTTATTTCTACTCTTAGAATTAGTTTAATGCCTTTTAACTTGATCATTCTCTATAATATTATGACATAAAATGTATTTGTTTGATTTTAATAACATGAATTCGTAATGTATTCATTTGTGAGACATATTTCTACCCTCTGAAAGTGTATGTACTTTCTATTTCTACTCTTACAATTATTTTTATGCCCTTTAATTTGATAATTCTCTGAAATATCATGACAAAAATTGTATATATTTGATCTCACGAACATTAACCCGGCAGATCGCATAAGCTTTGTGAACCACAATGGCGTGACAAGCTTGAGTCTCTCATAACTGAGTTTGGGTCCCGCCCCGGCCACCTTTTGTACAGGCCTTCACTACTATAGGAAATACCATCTTCATATTTCTACTATTTCCCAACTAGGTGTTTCATCCTAAATTCTTTATGGTTTTTTGTATATCTTTTTTTTTTTCGTTACTGAAATGTGTCTCACATTTATTGAGTATGTCAGTAACCATTGCCTCATGAATGCTGTCCAAATAATCAGTAATCTGAAAGAATTAAGGATGTAACCGCTTTACAGTAGGTACATCCTGTAATAATTTGGGTGAGATAATCAGGTATGTTACATTACTCGAGGAATGCCTCTGGTAAACCAATAATAAATGTGGCTTTAAATTAAACTTTAATTGTAACCTTATTGCAATTCTCAATTTTGAGGTGTTAAGCTATCTGCTGAGTACCTACTGAAATTTTGCAAGGACTGCACATGAACGAATTTCACAGTCCAACGTGATAATCCAAACGATTTCTTCCATTGAGTATCCTGTTTAATGTTCATGATTATTATTTTTCTACCAGAATATTGTTGTGGCGTCTCTTCAAACGAGCTTAGAGGGCACGTAAAACATGAGTTTTATATCGGGAATAAATAAAAAGATACGAGATATAAAGAAGATACCATAAAAAATATAACTCGGCACTAACTGCAGTGAGTGACAGAGAGCGCATTTTTTCGTCGACAAAAACGTGAAGTCACGGACAGATAGACAGACTGACATGGCGAGCAAAATAGCGCCTTTTTTCATAAATGGGAACGGACGAAAAAAGTTATAATAGATATTGTCCACCATTAGAATACATTAATGTAGAAGTGATGTGCTAATACTGGATGCATTACAGAAGGTACCGCCGCGGTGCTGCTGCCAGACGCCCACCTGGTGTTCCCTGAACAACCGCGTCCTCTGCTGTCTCTCTGCACCGCCCTCGCCTCCGCCAGTGCACCCAGCTGTGCTAAGGTGGGCCTAGCAGTTGCACCTAACCCAACCTAACCCAACTCAACCCAACCTTACCAAACCTAACCCAACTCTACCTAATCTAACTCAAGCTAACCAAATTCAACCAAACACAACCAAGCCCAACCCTACCTAACCCAGCCCTACCCAACCTAACCCAACCTAACCTAATCTAACTCAACCTAACCCAACCTAACTCAATCTAACCTAACCTAACTCAGGACCAAAATCCAAGTGTGTTACAGAGTTGGCCGCATTTCAAAATACGACCAACTGTTGGCCGTATTCTTACCTGCGTTATAGTGGCTCACCTCACCCCTCACCTTGCAACTGACCAGAGTCGCAGTTTTTTTACAAGTCAAGATGTGAAACGTGAAGCAGGCGTACAAAAAAACAGTGGCTAGTGTAGAATCCAACCACATAAACGCTGGTCTAACCGTTTTTTCGCCGTTTTCCGTAAAAGTGGCAACGTCCCTGCCTTTTTCATAATGATTATCCGGCCTCTAAAACGCCGATGTAAACGTTTTCTTGTAGCAGTGGTAATTCCCTTGCTTTGTATGTGATTGTACGGCTGTGTTGTACACTCTGGTTAACCAGTGGCTTATTGTACACATAACAATCCACTTTTTTCTCTTTTGTGGGTCAGCTTGACACAGTTTGCCCCGGCAAAGGCCGAATCAGTGCTACGTCCGCTCCCAGCTCGTGCTGTGGCCCAGAATGCTTGTCAATATTTGGACAAATGCCCCCATTCATAATTCTGAGTATATGATCCTGTTGAACGGGTGATGGAGCTGTTATCTGTCCTGTTGAACAGGTGATGGAGCTGTTATCTGTCCTGTTCAACAGGTGATGGAGCTGTTATCTGTCCTGTTGAACAGGTGATGGAGCTGTTATCTGTCCTGTTCAACAGGTGATGGAGCTGTTATCAGAGATGCCGAGCTTGACATGAGGTATGACCAGCACCTCCCTGGCGGGGCACTGCAGGGAGGTGGGGGGGTCACAGCTCATCACCCACAGCCGCCTGCAGCTACTCCCAGGACACTCCCTGCCTCCCCACACCTCAGGCACCCTCCTCCTGCCCTCCTCCCCTTCTCTCCCCCATCAGGATAAGTTCCTCGTGCAGTGGCATGCCCCTACCAACGCTTGGCAGCTCATCCTGGTTGCTCTGCATGAGCTAGATTCTCAGGTGACAAGATGTATTTTTATTGGAATATTTACGCTTTGATTAACCATCTTTTAATGCATTCTCATGTAAGGTGAAAAGATTTACATTTTATTAGTATAATTTCACATGAGCTAGATTCTCAGGTGACAAGATTTATATATATATTGATATAATTTTGCTTTGATTAACCATCTTTTAATAAGTCCCTAAAACAAAGTCCCTGTTTTTATTCGCGATAAAAACAATCTATCTTTCATGATACACCTTGTGTGAACTAATACACTTCCTCCAGATCCGCGACGGCACGACGGTGCGGGAATGGCTGGTGGAGTTCGTCGAGGAGTCCCTAGAACTTATCTGCAGCGTCCTGAAGAGCGACCAGACAAGCCTCACATCCCTAGAACACATCCTGGCACAAATATTCGCTGTAATTAAGAGCGTTAGTGATGTAGTGGAGCCCCGCGAACGACTCGTGCGCTGGCTGCTAGCTGCTGCAGGCGCTGCTGGTGAGCGCTCACCAGGCCTGGTGTGGCAGGCGGTTGACAGATGTGGTCTCCTGCCGTGTCTGCCACTGGGGGGACCCAAGGGTCAGACGCTGGTGGCTGGCGAAACAAATGTTCAGTATTACAGGTAAGCTTTTGCAAGACAAATTCACTAAAGATCATGATAAAGTATTTTACGTTGATCTTAGAGTGGTTTTAGACCGTGTCTGTCTCAAGATGAAAGATGCTTGTTGTTGTATTACACGTGAATTATTGAACACGAAGTACTTTGTTTATTGGGTGGTTCAAAAATGTTTGGAGATTTAATGTAGTTATTTAATATACGATTTTATGTCTTTAATGCTCCTTGAAGATTATTAATTTTGATATTTTGCCTATGGTGATCACTGCTGAGAAGCATTGCTTTTGCTTAACTTATTCGAAATAATTCCCGAGAGGTACTTACTAAAATTTCAGATGTGACTTGTCAATATTTTAACAATGTTGTCATTTCAATTAGAGATGCTGGTGTCATGTGCAGATGTGGAGCGCTATGTAAGATCGTGTGTCAATATTTTAACAATATCTGACAAAACTGCGGTCCGTTTAATTAGAAGTTCTTGTGTCCTGTGCAGATGTGGGGCGCTACGTAAGATCGTGTGTGGCCAGGAAGCAGCGGCTGGCAGCTACCCTGCACTTCGCTCCTTCTGTCTCATGTTGAGCTCTGCTCTGAGAGCCGGCATGTCATCATATGGAAGTGTGAGGGGAGGTGTGATGTTTGTGGTGTGTTAGTGATGTAGTGGAGCCCCGCGAACGACTCGTGCGCTGGCTGCTAGCTGCTGCAGGCGCTGCTAGTGAGCGCTCACCAGGCCTGGTGTGGCAAGCGGTTGACCGATGTGGCCTCCTGCCGTGTCTGCCCCTGGGGGGACCCAAGGGTCAGACGCTGGTGGCTGGCGAAACTGGTGTTCAGTATTACAGGTGAGCTTTTATAAGGCAAATTCACTAAAGATTATGATGAAGTATTTTACATTGCCAAGGGTCAGACGCTGGTGGCGGGCGAAACTCGTGTTCAGTATAACAGGTGAGCTTTTGTACGGCAAATTCATCATTGATCATGTTTTACGAGCATATTTTACGTTGATCTTAGAGTGGTTTTAGACCATGTCTGCCTCAAGAAGAGTCTAGAGGACAGGTGCTTGTTGTTGTATTACGTGTGAATTATTGAATATGACGTACTATATTTGTTGGGTGGTTCAAAAATGTTTGGAGATTCAATCTAGCTATTTAAAATACGATTTTATATCTTTAAAGCTCCTTGAAAATTATTAATTTTGTTATGTTCTCTATGGTTGTTAGCTCTGCTGGGAAACATTGCTTTTGCTTAACGTATTGAAATTATTCCTGAGAGGTTCTTACTAAAATTTCCCGTGTAACTTGGTCAAAACTTCGTTCTGTTTTGATATGTTGCGTAAGGTTGGTATTACTGTTGAGAAGCATTGCTTTTGCTTAACGTATTTGAAGTAATTCCTGAGAGGTTCTTACTAAACTTTCCCATGAAGCTTGCCAACATTTTCACAATGTTGAGCAAAACTCCTGTCTGTTTTGATATTTTGCCAATGGTTTTTATCACTGCTGAGAAACATTGCTTCTGCTTAACGTATTTGGAATAATTCCCGAGCGCTTCTTACTAAAATTTCAGGTGTAACTTGTCAATATTTTAACGATGTTGGACTAAACTCCTGTCTATTTAATTAGAGGTTCTTGTGTCCTGTGCAGATGTGGGGCGCTACGTAAGATCGTGTGTCAATATTTTAACGATGTTGGACAAAACTCCTGTCAGTTTAATTATAGGTTCTTGTGACCTGTGCAGATGTGGAGCGCTGCGTAAGATCGTGTGTGGCCAGGAAGCAGCGGCTGGCAGCTACCCTGCACTTCGTTCCTTCTGTCTCATGTTGAGCTCTGCTCTGAAGGCGGGCATGTCATCATATGGAAGTGTGAGGGGAGGTGTGATGTTTGTGGTGCGTGAGGTGGTGCCTTTCATGGTGCTGCAGTGGGGCTACAGCACCGCTAGAGAGAAGGTGCTGGTGCTTGAGGCCGTCATGGAGGTGCTTCATCAGGCTCTTGAGTGTGGCAAGGAAGACCAGCAAATAGCATCCGAGGTGCGAACTTTCTTCTCACAAACACTGATCTAATTTTTGTTATGTTTCATAGATTATTTATTGTTTCAATTTATATACCTACTTCAGTGTGAAAAAGGTGGCTACGACCATAACTTTTCTTTAGGTTTACTTTTAGCTAATGTGGTTTTCTTTTCGCTGTAGTAAATGTTTTAAATGTGATCCAAAATTTCTGCATTGTCTTAAATTGTCTCTTTCTCTATTTTTAAGGCTATATAATTAGAAATTACCAATAATAAACATAATTGTTCTTATGTTAAGTAATTTCTTTGTTTCATATCTTCTTCACTGTTGAATAAGCTTATTTCAGCATAATTTTGCTACATAAATAGCCTCCTGCATCCATTGTGCGGCTATATAAAGTGCATTGTTCTGCAGGTCTGCAGTCAGTTGAGTAGCCGTAGTGGCGGCGCTACGTTACGAGCCGTGCTTGAAGCCGGCGCCTGTTTGGAAGCGTCCCTTGATGCCCCTCCTGCCCAGTGGCCCTATGCTACCCACGCCACGTCTCTGGCACGCACAGCACACTTGGCGCTCTCTGTGCTGCACAGAATTGTGCTCATGCACTGCGACGGCCGTAACCCTGAGCTGGACAAGCAGCGGCTCAAGAATCTGCTTGCTGGGGACCAAAAGTTAAACGTTTGAAGTTAAACGTCTGGTGCCTAGTGAGTCAATTCAACGGTCTCAATGTACAAGTCTTGCTTACCTCTCCCCTATGTACAGGACCGTCACACCTGACGCTGACGGTGGCACAGTTTGTTCACCATCGCCTCAACTCCAGCCTGCCCTACCTCGCCATGCGCATCCTCACCAAACTCGCCCTTGTAAGCTGGTCTCCCAGCGCCATACTGGACGTTTTGTGATGGATTTTGGTTTGATTTCATTGACAACAAGCGCCATATTTGATGTTTTGTGATGGATTTTGGTTTGATTTTATTGATAACAAGCGCCATATTGAATGTTTTGTGATGGATTTTGGTTTGATTTTATTGACAGCAATTTACTAGTGATGGATATTTTTATTTACGAACTTGTAATGCAAGTGTTTATAGAATAATTGTTGATTGAATGGATTAAAATTTGATTATTAAGAGTCGTTAAAATGTTTTTATGGAATACTTACTTACTTTAAAAACTACACATAAAATCGTATGAGACTTGCTTCAGGGAAATTCTCTTAGTTCCATGCCTCCCCTAGTTCCATGCCTAATCATCTTCCTAAAGTTGAATCAACGTTATTCCAACGTCTGTTGCCTGATGGGTATTTCCGAACGCTCTCTTCCATGTCATTGGCTCCAAAATAGCAATTATTTGGTAAAGGCAACCCTCCAGGGAAATGATGTTAAAATAACATTGATTACAAATTTATTTTCTTCATACAACGTTATTTCAACATTATTCCAACATTATTTCAACGTTATTTCATCAGTATTTCAGAGTTATTTCATCGTTATTTAAATGTCTGGTGCCTAGTGAGTCAATTTCAACGGTCTCAATGTAGAAGACTTGCTTACTTCTCCCCTATGTACAGGACCGTCTCACCTGACGCTGACGGTGGCACAGTTCGTGCACCATCGCCTCAACTCCAGCCTGCCCTACCTCGCCATGCGCATTCTCACCAAACTCGCCCTCGTAAGCTGGTCTCCCAGCGCAGTATTGGATGCTTTATGATGGATTTTGTTCGATTTTATTGAGAGCAATTTACGAGTGATGGATATTTTTATTTACGAACTTGTAATGCAAGTGTTGTTAGAATAATTGTTCATTGAATGAATTAAAATTTTATTATTAAGAGTCATTATTGAAATTTATATGGGATACTGATTTATTTTACAAACTACACATAAAATCGTATGAGACTTGCTTCAGGTAAATTTTCGTGGTTCCGTGCCTCCCCTAGTTCCGTGCCTCCCCTAGTTCCGTGCCTCCCATAGTTCCTGTCTCTTATACACATCTAGATGTGTATAAGAGACAGNAGCTGTTGTGCAGGTGTCCATCACGCAGCTGCTGCTTTATCTTATAGTTGCAGCTGTTGTGCAGGTGTCCATCACGCAGCTGCTGCTTTATCTTATAGTTGCAGCTGTTGTGCAGGTGTCCATCACGCAGCTGCTGCTTTATCTTATAGTTGCAGCTGTTGTGCAGGTGTCCATCACGCAGCTGCTGCTTTATCTTATAGTTGCAGCTGT